TTTCGCTCTGTGTTTTCCCCCGCTCTCCCCTTCCCCCTTCGGGCTCGTGTATTTCTTTCGTTCTTTTTTTCTTTTTGTGACTTGGGATAGGTCAGTTTGCTCCGCCCCAGCGCCATATGGCGTTCCATGGGCACTAATAGCGATGTGTGTGAGGCAGTAGATTGGGTATTATAAATTCGGAAATTAATAAATGTCTAAGCAGTTCCACTAAAGGGGAACAAAGGCCAAGAGAAAGACGGCAGCTTTAGGGGGAAATTGTGTAAGGAAAATGTGTGTGGCATCAAAATTAAGTGGAAATAAGATAATGTTTTGAGGCAATATACTTAACAAGCCAAGTTTTTAACAAAGATTTCTGTTCAAGAAAGGGAAAAAAGTACAAATTTAGCGACTAGTTTTAGATTATCTCAAGTTTCAAAGAACTCTATTTAAGATAGAGTTAAGAATCCCAAAAACTATGACTATATCTGGCTTATAAGACACTAAAATCTAGAAAACCAGAAGCATGTTGATTGAAATACACTTCCGTATCGAAATATCTTCATAGTTAACTAGGCATTTAGGCCAAAACTATTCAAGGTAATCTCTTAATTGATACGAGAACTCGACAAGCAACCAGTTATAATGGAATATGAATATGTATGTAAAAATAACTCTCGATATGGCTAATTCGATTTAGAAGGGGTTCCAACTGTATTTGCCGAAGCTATCTAATCGAAATGTGTGTGCTTTGTGATTGAATGGACAGAGATATGATAGCTTATCGGACGCAGTGCCTCCAATCGTACCAGTGCGGACAGGCTTGCGCCCGCGGAGGGACCCGTTGTGATTGCCGAGCCACCTCCAACCACTCCAGTACCCATCCCACCGACGCCACCCACACCTGCAGCTGCTGTGGCGGCAGAGGTAGCTACGCCCTGCGTGGCCTGGGCCGCCGCCGCAGCTGCGGCTGCCACTTGTCTGATGCTCAGACAATTGCAGAGCGGCTTCGTCACGCCCAGCGTGCACAGGGCGTTGGACCACATGGTGGTAGTGGTTGTGGTGATGGTGGTGGTGGTGGTGGTGCTGCTGGGGCTGGAGCTGGAGCTGCAGATGGCACTCGCTTCGCCCTTGCCAGCCACTTTTAGGCCGAGATCCTGCGCTGCGCTGCACTGCCGCGGCTGCTGCTGCTGCTGCTGCTTCTGCCTTCTCTGCTGGCTTTCGATTCTCTGGCTCTGGCTTTGGCTCAAGGTCGTCCTTCCGTTTCACACTCGGCGGTCGGGGGGCGAGTAATCCATGTTTAAGTGTGGCTAATGCTCCTCCTCTTTAAAAAATCGTTATATAAACGCGTTTTATTTTGTTTTATTTTTCCTTTTTTTTTTCGTTTTGTGTTAAAAATCCGCCTTGGAAACGACGACGATTGTGAAAAGTTTTTACAAAATTTAAAGCTTATTGCTTATTGTTTGAGAGTCCGGGGGTTAAATGCCTTGCGTTCGGGGAAAATTCGTTATTACAAAAATTGTTTGTTGGGTCACCAAGAAAAAAAAAACAACAACAACAATTAAACAACACACATGGCACACACGCAATACTAAAATGTCTTCTTTGTAAAAATGGGGATGCTTTCCCTTTCTTAAATTGGGATTCTTCGGAAGATTGTTATAAAAATCTTGCTAAACAGCAGATGGGTCTAAAATTTCGCTTTTCACTGCTCGCATTCGCACTTCGCACACTTCGCATTCGTATTTTTGGGGCAGGTCAGGGCGGGTTGACCTTCGCACTTCGCACTTTCACTTTACGGATACGGATACTACGCGCCTGCAGCAGCGCCCCTTTTGCCCGTGAAACCGCCGAGTTTTCCTTTTCATTTGCATTCCAACGCTGCTCAGCTCAGCGCCTCGATTATGTTATTATAATGCGGAAGAGTAGTTTAATTTATAAATTTTCGGAAAAGTTAGTTTGTAGAAAAATGCAGGGTCCACACCCAGTTAAACGTGGTGTTGCCACTGAACAAAGGCGAAAAGTGCCAGCAGCCTTTTCTTTAGCTGCCTCTGTGTGTGTGCGCCTGGCAGCCTGGCAGAGCAAACTGTGAGTTTTCCGAGTTTCCCGATGAGATGCTGCATCGGATTTTACTACTGCTGCTGCTGCTGATGCTGCTGCTGCTTCTTGTTCTTTTGGGGCTGGGTGCGTTTTGCAGCGCTCTAACAGCGCTTGAAATGAGCACGAAGCATCTGCTTGAGAGGAATGCAGTTCCAGTGAGAGAGTGCAGCCGAAAGCTTTGTGGCAGAGGGAAAGGGAGGACCAGAGGAGTGTGGACAGGACACAACCGTTACTAATTAAGACAGGCCATTCTTAGTTATTTAACGCAAAATGCTACAACATTTACTTATCCCACATTCACTTGCACCTTTCACTCTCCTCCTGTGTTAGTTTTTCGCCCTCCCCCCTGGACAGTTTACAGTCTTTGGTCGTGCTTTGGCCTACATTTGCATCAATGTGATATAATCAGGACGCTAAGGCGCGCGCACGCTCCACAAGTAATCCCAAGGATCCAAAGAGTTTGATTTTGTAAATATTTACACGCAATCAAAGTCGATCAATTAACTGTTACTATTTGTTGTTTACCAAATAAAAATAGCGAACTTATTCTGCTCCAGAGGGGCATACTCTGAAATTCAACATTTAGACTGCAACATTAGGCATTCAAAGAGTGCTTTGATAAAAGGGGGGCAGGTAAAGGACGAAAAAAAAAGTAAAAGGATAAGAGAGAGATGCAATATAATATGCAGTTGTGTGCTCTCTCTCTCTCTATCTTTCTTTCTCTCTCTCTAAACAGCATTGCCAGCTGGGAGTGTTAAATGATAACAGAGCTGTAACGTAGCTGTAACTTCTGGCCGAGTTTTTTAAATTGGAGTAAGAAGCAGAGATAATCTCGTTTTGTTTATGCTTAATAATGCTAGATCAACTGCCAAAAACTAAAAGCAACCTCCAGCGGCAGCAATGTCAACCGCTTTCAAAGGGATTCCCAAGCTTTAGGAATTCCCAACCACTTTTTGGGGACATCGCAAAGCAACAATTTCGGAGACGCCAAAAGCAGAAAAATGCCATTCTTGGGGGTGTGTGCGGCATAAGGGATAGAAGGAGAAGGAGGTGGAAGAACAACAGTTGCAGCAGAAGCAGCACGTGGAACGAGGGGGTGGCTGCGTTGGGGGAGTGGCGCATTTGTGGGGCGTAAGTATTACCTCAGTTATTTGGGTCAAAGCTATTCACTCACCCGCAAAGCAAAACGAAACGAAGGAACTGCATAAAACATGCACAAACACGCATACACTTACAGCAAGATTCGCACACACACTCACACATACACACTTCCATACAAAGGAGAGCTTGGGGGACACGGACACAAAGAGACTAATGCGGGACACAGGCTTAATAGGTTCCTCTGGCGGATGCGGACGCGGAGTATTCGCAGCAACGATACGCCTTTCTAGATACACTAGCAAAAAACTTAAATACCTTTTTAATCTTATACATTTTCATTAAAAATAAAAAATAAATTTTAACCAAGGTTTAAAAAAAATTAAATAATATGCATGTTCAATAATTGTTTCTATTTTTAGTTCCTATTCAATGTAAAATCACTATTTTTAAATATATTTTTGTAATTTATAATGCGTTTGTTAACTAATGTCCTACTGTAACGTTTAAAATCCTTGTAAACGAGTGTATTCACAGTTTCGCTCGTGGGCTAGGTTCATAACGGAGGTTTTACAATGTGAAAGAGCGAGACATGATTATGAAGTGAGAGAGCAGCTGATTTAAGTCGTGATTTTGCGCTTGCGATCGGGACAATTAACGGTTTAACCGCAGTTGCCGGCTTCGCTTTTAACACGTTTCCACTTACCTCTCTGGCCATTACGACATGTTCTCACCAGCGGCGCCCGCTTAGAGGGTCTGCCATTTACTCAGCGGCAAGCACAACAACAAAAACAGCAGCGCCTCCACTAGCGAGAGCGAGCAACAACAAAGCTCACGCTTTTCGCGAATACAAGAGTGCGTGCGTGTGTTTGTGTGTGAGTGTGTAGGCGGCAAACAGGATAATCAGAGAGACAGAGAGAGAGAGAAAGAGTGTGGGAAGTGTGTGTCTGTGTATGAGTTCTTCAAAAATTCTCTACTACACGTTTATTTTCAATCTTCTCTTCCCGCACATTTCTCCAACGCGCCGATGCTTCGTTCTTCCTTTTCTTTCCTTTCCTTCTCTCCGTGCGTGGGAATGAATGTGTGTATGTGTGCGTGTGTGAGTGGCCGTATAGGTGTGTATTGGAATTTCCTACTAGATTAGTTTAAGCCAGCTTGCATTTGTTTAAACAATTGGCATTCATCACTATTGAGCAATTTGTAATTGTAAATTGTCTCTACCTACGCCCACTTTTATAGGTGCGGCTGGTGGTGGTCAGGATTTGCTATTGGCAGTGGTAGTAGTCGTGTGTGTCTGTGTGCGGGCGAGAGAGCGCATTGGAGTACCGTTATCGCTGGCGGAGCCACATTTTCCTATTTGACATACACTTTTTTGTTGCGATTTTCGCAATTTTTTGCGGCACACGCGATTTGTTATATTATTTTGGGTATTTTGTATAACTACTTTCCGATTTTTTATCTCGTTGTATTCTCTAGTTTGGAATATCTTCCTTTTTACAGTTTTTTTTCTTATTGGTACACACGCCTTTTCTTCACATACGTTCTAGTTTTTGGCAGTTGATTAATTCCTCGGGTTTAGTCCTTTTAACTAGTTGATTGATGTTATGTAGACGATTTAACAGTTTTTATTTAGCGAAAACAATAACATTTAATTCATTTTAAGCCGAGAACAAACGCAAATCAATTTTTATTTTTCGGCACTCGAAGCACTATCGGCTATCGGTTATCGATAGCTTTGCCATTCGCCGCGAGCGTGGGCATACGATTGCTGGCTGGAAAATCATCGATAGTTTGCCGGTGTTTTAGCGTCAAATATTGCCACCATCTGGCCACACTGCAAATTGTCAGAAACTGAAAAAGCAAAATAAAATTTAATAAAATAAGCCAAAAAATAGTTAAACAGGCATTAAAATGGACGATATACGCACCAGCATGGATAACATGTTGGCGCGTTTCAACGAAAGCATTACTCATTCAGCCCCCAAGAAGCTGCTCTTCAACCGGCTTTCCACTTCCTTCTCCGACGACTTTGTGGCCTGTAAATGCTTGTAATATTTAGTTAAAATCCATTTAATAATAAAATTCCACATCTTGATAGCTCCTAAAAAGCGTCGCCTGGATCAGGAGCTGCCGGACAACAGCTTGAATGCCAGCTCCAGTTCGCTAAACAATTCCTCGACCGATGGCCGGAGCTCCATCGAAGCCTCCAAACTGCGCGCTGAACTAATCGAGTCCAAGTCTATTATTGTGCAGCTGCAGAATCAGTTGGAGCGGAAGAATATCGAGCACCGCCAGGCCATGCTGATAGAGGAGAACAAGAGTTCCGCTTTGAAGCAGCAGTGTGATATAACCAGCAAACTGCATTCGGAGCTGGGGGAAGCCCTGAAGGCGAGCCGCAGTCGAGAGACTATCCTTAAGGAGGAGGTCCATCGTACCAAAACAGAGCTGGGCCAATTGAAGCTCAAATACGATGACATTGTGGCTAATCTGGAGCAGAAGAAGTCTATGCAGGAGCAGGACGCCCGTGATGTTCAGTTCTGCATTACCAGTGAGTTGGACGAGTATCGCCGCATTGCTCAGCGGTCCAACATCGAGCTACAGGCCACACACACCGAGCTGGAGAGCGTCCGTCGTAGCTATGACGAGATTAAGGCCAGAGTTTCCGGATACGAAGAGCTGCGCGGCAAGCACGAGATGCAAACGCTCAGTCTCAACGTGGCCAACGAACGGATTCGGGATCTGGAGTCGCAGATCAATGCGTACAACGACTGGAAGGAAGTGACCAAGGTATCGCAGAAGCGTCTGGCCAACGTTCCGGAAATGCAGGCTGAGCTGGTACGCTTGCGCGCCCAAAACCAGCGCTTGAATGATGTGATCGGGAATAAATTGCTGCTGGAGGAGCAGGTTAATGACTACAAGACGCGCCTGGACCGATTGGAGGGTATCCAGGCGGAGGCGGCCAGCCTGCAGGTAAAGCTGTCGGGTGTGGAGCAGGAGCTCAAGTTGTGGGTTAAGGTGGCCCAGGATCACTGTCTGCCCAACACTCTGGTCAGCCCCATGGCCCTGCGCTCACGAATTGAGCAGCTGCTGCAAGAGGATATTGCCCAAATGGCTGAGAAGTCATCTGCCAAGTGGGACACCAAGAATTTGCAGGTGGGAACAATATTCCAACTTTTACGTAGCTTAAACTATTATATTTGACATTAATATCCACAGAATTCCCTGCGTGACATGGAGCAAAAGTGCGCAGTTTATTTGAAGAACATCGAGGACCTCAATATCGTGCTGAAACGCCACAAGAACTTCAAGGAGCGGCTACAGCGCAAGCTGATCACGGTCTCCAAGGAGCGTGACTTTTACAAGCAGATGGTGGATAACTTTGACAAGGACATGACCATGAGCAACACCAGTGTGGCCGACATGACGCAGGACATGCAGGTGCGCTATCGCGTCGAGGTGCTGGAACGCACAGTGACTGGCTATAAGGAGATGTGTGCCACATTGGAGCGAGAGATTCAGGCATTGCGCCAGCAGGAGATGCTGGCTGAACCCTCCGGCGATGGCTATGACAGCATTAAAAAGGAGCTGGACACGCTGCGCCTGGAAAACGAGAAGCTACGCCGGCGCAAGAGCGAAATGGAATTGGAGCTGATGAATCGCTGCCTGCTCGGGGACTTTAACATGCGGGACTACAAGGTGGTACATCTGAGTCAAAATCCCGCTGCTGACGCCTACGAGTCCACCAAGAACATGATGGAGAAGTTGCAGGCGGAGATTGAGCGTTTGAAGCGGAGCAACAAGATGCTGGAGGATGGCCAGCACGAGCAGCGCTTGAATGAGACGACCAGCACCGGGGGCATGACCCTGAATTTCAAAGAGTTTAACCAATTGCGCGCTGATCTGGAGTCGGCCAATGGCAAGATGCGCAAGATGAAGGACTGCTTCAAGGCGGCCAGCAAGGAATACCGCGACGTCTGCTACATGCTGTTGGGCTACAGGATTGATCGCATTGGCGCCAATAGCAACTATCGGTAGGTTAACTCATCTGCTTTGACTTTATACATTTCTTTAACATGTTTCCCCCATCCTGCAGCATTTCCAGCATGTATGCCGAGAGTCCGGATGATTATTTGGACATTACCCTCAATGAATCCAATTGTTTGGCTCTTTTGGAGTCACCCTACTCGCAGACTTTTAAGCCGGCTATTGATCAGCAACTGGCCGCTAGTAACTCCTTTCCTGCATTCTTCTCCGCACTTACCCTTGAGCTGTTCCAAAAGGCCACAGTAACCATAACTTAAGGATAAGTTCAAGTGTACGAAAAAGCCAATTTTGGCGAGAGATTCGAGTAAAAAATCATAAATTTTGTCTGCGTAATAAATGTTTTATAATTTAAGTAAAATCCTTTCACAAATCAGAAACTTGCATGTAATTAGGAGGGATTAATAAACAAATAGATCCTTAAGATAGACTCCTAGCAAACTACCTCGGCTTTGTCGTGAGCCTTCAGCTCGCTCTTTCTCACAATAATAAACAATACACATTGGAATAATAACGACAGATACGCGCTCACTAACTCGAAGTAAGGATATGGGCCACCTGATCGGGAGTTCGGTGCAGCAGCTGCTCCGGCTGCTCAAACCCATTCGCCGGATCATGCACCCGCTCGTAGATCTGCTTGTAGATGGCCACGATGACGTTGAAGGAGCGCTTTTGCACCGTTGCTCGATGACTGCTGGACATGATGAGCTGCACCTGGGGCAGTAGCAGCACATCGGGTAGCTCCAGGAAAGCATCCATCTTGGACATGAATATCTTCAGCAAATTCGTCTCGATCTTGGACTGATTGCTCTGCAGGATGGCGTAGATGGGGCCCAGATTGAGATTGGCAACCAGCGACGAGGCCTGCTCCGAGGTGAGTGTGTCCAATTGGGCATCCGACTGGGCCTGCAGTCGCTCCACGCGCTCATCCATATACTCGTAAACGGCCAGCGAACTCTGCATGTGATGCAGACAGTTAAGCAGATATACGCCCATGTCCACGGTGGGGAGATGAGCGGCACTTTCCTGGACCGACTGCAGCAGCGGATCGATCACACAGCTCACAATTTTGGTGATATCTGCTTGGCGGCCATCGACCATGGTGGCCACTGATAGGATCTCTTTAAGCATATTCAGGAGACGGGCAACGCTTGGCGGTGGTACCAAGTCCCTTTGTGGCGGCTCCAGAGCCAAGCCGGAACCTCCCGAAGGGCGCTGCAAGACGCTCCGAACCTGGGAGGCCAGAGCACCCAGGTAGATCTGTTCGCTGCTCTTCTGTAGCTCCACCAGGCACTCCTCTAGACTGCCGCCCTGCACCACCTGACGCATTATTTGCTGGTAGAAACGCAGCAAATTGGAGATGGTAAACAGCACAATGGTGTCCTTCTCCGCCTGCAGAATGGTCTCTACGCGAACCTTCAAGGGATGGCAAACGCCATCCGCTATGTAGCCCAAGGCGCTCTGTAGCTGATCGGAAATGTCTGTGAAAGGATTATGTTTTAAAGAATAAGGTATAATCTAGCTGAAGAGATGCTCACCTTGCTTGTCGCACTTCTTAAACAGCAGCGACAGGTTCTCCTTCTCGCTGGGAATACTCTGATGCAGCCAGGCAAACATATCGCCTATGTAGCGCTTTGGATCATGGGCATGTAGCTCGATGGGCTTGGGATTGCCGCCAGGACCGCCCTCCGTCAAGGCCTCTATGAACTGCCGCACCAGCACAGCGCGTCGCGCAATGGCGTACTCATCTATGACATATCTGCAGGAGAATCAGGTAAGTTGCAACTTAAACCCAGAAAATTAACCAAGTAAAAACCTACTTGAAGAGCACCGGCCGATCCTGCAGGCGACTCATGGCCTCCACAATCAGCGGACCAATCTCGTTGTTCTCCAAACTGCGACAATGGTTTTGAGTCCAGCGATAGAGGCGCTCCAGGGCGCCCTCCTGGTGCAATGTCATCTCCTCCATGATGTCCAAGGCAGCTGTTTGGTAGCCACATTGCATCAGCAGCCGGCAATCAGCATGGATGCTTTGTACTCTATCCAACACCCGAAAGAAGTCGTGGACAATGGGTGCATCTTTGGCAGCGCCATACAGCAACTGATGCTCTTGCCCGCTCAGCTGGAATCTGGCCAAAAAGGCCTGCGCAATCTGCTGATGCACCTCCAAGCGTTCTCTCTCCCTCTGCATGGTGTTGGTCTGCTCGATAAGATCCTTGGTCAGGGCCTTCGATGTCTCCAGATCCGATTTCATAGTCTCCACTGACGTGGCCATCGTGTCCAGATCTTCGCATACCGCGTCCAGCGAGAGCTTAACCTCGCGGAAGGCCTTCAGGAAGTTCTCATTGATGCCCACGGAGCGGTGTTCGATCTGGCTACGCAGATTCCGGCGATTTTGGAGTGTATTCTCCGTGAAGAACGTAGACAGACCGCTGAGCGCATCCAAGGTGTCCTAGGAGGAGGAGAAACTATTGTTTACCAAGGTGACCTTTCAAGCTTGGTGAGTGTCACCTTATCCGACTCCAGGCGCGCCTCCAGGATCTTATTGACCCGTTTTTGGATCCTGTCCTGATCCTCCGGTTTTTCGGTTTTCATTTTGTCAACTAAAGTGTGACCAGCCAAAAATAACTCGCCAACGGGGCTGGAATAAGTAAGCACTTCCTTATTCATCAAACCTGGTCATACTGACAAAAAGAAAACAATTCACATTTTTTGGAAGAATATTATTTAAAGCATTTAATTAACGTTTTTTAAGCTCAAAGCTAAACCAACATAATGGCCGCCCTGGCCAGCTTGACCGCCCAGTACACGGATTCGGAAAATGAGGGAGAGGCCAGTCCGGATTCCCAGAATTCTACAGCGTCCCAGGTGAGCATCAAGAAAATCAACTCAAATCATCAAATTCAAGAAAATAAAGAAAACTTGTCAAAAACATGCTATGCCTACAGGTAATCATTCCGCCCAAGCGACCCACGCCAACACCCACCAAACAGGATTCGGAAACGAAGCGATCCAAGCAAAAGAAAAAGAAGCACGCCAAGAAGGTGCGACGATTGGTCAGCTACCAGGACGACACCTTGATTTCCGACGAGGAGGAAGACCGTGCAGCAGCCGTCTCGAGCGAGGAGGATTCCAGTACCTCCAGCGGCAGTGATAGCTCCGACTCTGAGGGCAGCGACACCCCCAAGGCCAAGGATAAGAGCAGTACGGGCAACGGGGCCAAGGAAACTGACACTCCCATGGAGGTCGATGAAGAAACGGAAGGTTTTGCACATGAAGAACGAACCGCGGAGAGCTACGAGAAGGATCCCAAGTACGCCAAGTACAAGTTCCAGCTGCCACCAGAGCCCAAGGGAAAGCCATCCGCGGAACTGGTGGCCAAGATTACCAAAATGTACACCAAGATGCGGCAAACTAATATGGATATGAACCGGGTGATCCAGGACCGCAAGGAGTTCCGCAATCCCAGCATCTACGACAAATTGATCAGCTTCTGCGACATCAACGAGTTTGGCACCAACTATCCGCCGGAGATCTACGATCCCTTGCAATGGGGCGAGGAATCCTACTATGAGGCATTGGCGGCGGTCCAGAAAACGGAGATGGTGAAGCGCCAGAAGGATCGCAAGGACATGGACAAGGTGGAGCAGGCCACAGCGCTGGCCAGGAAGGTTGAAGAGGAGGCCAAAAAGCGGTAATAACGCTTACTATTGCTAAACTTTTTTAGATTTTATAAAATCTGTGTTAATTTGCAGGAAATCCAAATGGGATCAGCCGGCTCCGTCTTCAACCGTGGTAAAACCCACGCTTCCGGCCTTGACCACCACAGTTACTGGCACCAAGGGAACCGTCATATCCGCATTTGGCTCTCTGCCTAAAAGCCAGCCGCTTAGTCATAAATAAACTTGTATAATTTAATAATATAAAATTGTTTCACAAAAATAATAGTAATGATTGAAGTCTTCGCTAAAACATTATCGATTATCGATTGTACATCAATCGATACCTACCCGATGATTAGCCATCGATGTATCGTTGCTGTTACTTCCCACCTCTAGTCTCGCATCCGCCTCGCAGTTTGGTTATTTTTCGTTTTTAATCATCACAAAAGTTCGAATAAAAACAAAGCCGTGTTTATTCTGTGCATGCAGGCGTCAGCACCGACGTTTTGATTTTAAAACTCCAAGTGCGTGGTAATAATCTAATGTGCAACATCAGCAACTAGACACCGAAAGAAAATACAGAAGACAACGCAGCAGCAGTGCAAGAAATTTTGATCTGAACCGAGCGTGTTGTGGCAGTGTGTGTGTGTGTGTGCGAGTGAGATAACATGAGATTTGTTCGAAGAAGATAAAAAAAGATGAAGAAGATGCCGTCCAAGTAGATAATTGTAAATCCCTGTGAGCGTGCGTGCGTGTGCGAGTGTGAGTGTGTTTTTTTGTGCGCTGGCTGAAAATTTTGTTTAAACAATCTTGGCCGTGCGATTATTTCAAGGTGCATAATAAATGCGGATGTGGCCATTTACACGCTGCAGCAACCGGTATTTCGTCTCTCGCCTTGCCTCTCTGTCCGCCTTGCTCCTTTTTCGCATTCGCATTGGGGCTCTGCGCGAGCTGCTCTTTTTTGCCGCCACTTGCACATCACCCCTCCCCTCGCACTTGCGCCTAAGCTTATTTATAAAACGAATTGCAAGAGCGGAACACCAGAGGAAGAGGAAGGCGAAAGAGAAGAAGAAGCACGTTCAATTGGAGGCAATTTCAATGGGCGAGAGGAGGAGGAGGCGCCATTGTCTCTGGAATATGCATAATATTTAGCAAGCAACAATAAGAGGGCGAACCGGGAATGAAAGAAGGGGAAGAAGAGGAAACGCGGCAAGGAGAAGCAGAAGAATCAGCCTCATCTCTTTGTTCCCCTTGAATACAATACAAAAAAAAAGCAACAATTGTAAATGACGCTTTCTGTCTCTGTCACTCTTTCTCTCTCACCTTTTGCGGCGCTGCCACTTGTTGGTGTGCTGTTTGCTTGCGTGCGTGTGTGTATGTGTATATGTTGCCCTGCCCAAAACAACTGAATTCTATTCATTTTTGTTGTTCCTCGACCGCAGGAAATCAAATGAGAGCGCGCAGTCGATAAAAGAGATAAAGGAAAATACTGTTCGGCATCAGGTGTTAAGGTGTTAAACAATTCCAGTTCCAAAAAACGCAAAGAAAAGTAAACAAAAAAGCGAACGCGGCGCGTGTATTTAAACATACAACTACATCTATGTCTGTGTGTGCGTGCGGCGCCAATCAAAAGCCAAAAATCGTCCAAAACTGACAGCTAAAAGACAGAAACAAAAACAACAAGTGTAATAATAATAATAATAACAACAAGCAACAGCAAAAACAACAACGAGAAGCGAGGGCATCGAGTGATTCAACGGGCTGAACTACATAAACCATGTCGGATTCGTATTATCAGGTGAGTCTCACTGATGTGTGGGTGTTTGTGTGTGTGTATGCTTGCGTGCGTCTACCGGTCAAATCAGTTGCTTAATATTTTCCATATCAGCTTATTTAGCTCCCTCTCCCTTGCACCACTTCTTTCTAACCCCGTCCCGCTCTGTCAGCTGTGGGAAATTGAACATTCCAACAGTTAATACAGTCGAACTTTGTTATGTTGGGAATATTCTTGTAGGAGCACCTTATATGAGGTTCAACAATAGGTATTCAGCCTATAAAAAGTCTTAGAACACTAAAATTTGAGTTTCTTTAGCCATAATTTATTCTTGCGATTTGAATAATTATTTAATAAACGAAGAAGAGATTAAAGAATGGTTTTATTACGCTTAAAACTTCTGATTCCACCATCTTAATACTCACAATAATTTATATAAACATAAACCCCAAAAGAATCCCTCGAAAAATCCCTCGTTTTTTCACTACAAATCCTTATCGAAGTTTGACTGTAGTTAAGATAGTCTAGAAAAAATAAAAATAAGACTCATGTCCGTTGTGAGCCAATTCCTGGGCCCTCCTTAATGACGCACCTGTTGCGCACGAGGAGTTTCCGTTTTAGCTGACGACGGAAGCCACTTGTGGGTCATCCCCGAAGCCCTCTTGACTTGGCCCCCAGTGGACAAAATTAATAGCCTGCCGTGCCAATGAAAGCGGCAACAAATGGCTCTGCAAATGACATCACTTTCGTTAGTTGGCGTGCACAAATCGCGTTCCACATATAAATTCACATACCGTCGTCCACCAAGTGGCAATTGGCATAAGTGCGTGACCCGATGCCTAAAAATAGATCCCCACCCCTCCAACTGTGGAAATCTGTATGGTTTTATTAATACCTTATAGGTGCAGTTAAAAAAAGATTTTAAAATGTCTCTTAAAAGTTAAAGAACAACTAAAACATTTGCTACATAACATAACATCTAAATTGCTTTGAATTAAGCTATATAGAATTGTGACTTAATAATCTGTAAATACATTTTTAAATTCAGAATTTTATAAGCATTTGGTCACTACCCCTTTTCTCTGTGTAGAGGCTATTATTGCCTAGACTGCAATTAGCTTGGCTGCCCGGCAATCAGTTGTGATTACAGGGTATTTAACTGTGCCTGGCTATAAATAGACCCGCTGTCAAGTTGTTTTGGGTCGATGCAAAAACTGCAACCGCCGCCGCCTCCTTATCGCTGCACTCGCTTATCGCTCGCTTTATGAGCTCTATAAGCAGCTTCTGTTCTTTTGCTGTTCTTTTATCGGGAAAACACAACCCGAGCAGCATCCATCACGTAGTGAATGACCGTCGTAATTTGTTTATGACTCAACTTAGGGCATTGGAAGAAGCTGAGAAAATCATTCAGTACTCTAGCCTAGTACTGACCCATTAAGTTCACCCGATGAACCATTCACGAAACCCCCGAGCGATTTTCAATGGTAATCTACGTTGTGCTTGGATTTTGAAAGTAAGAAATATATACGAGTGTATATGTATATAGGAAATCGATGGTGCCTGTAGAGAAAACCAGATTCCTGAAGGAGGAGCATCATCACAGCCGCCAGCTCCTACTTACATACTTTTGCCATTTACGGTGCACTGTGGTGCACCTGAAGTTGGAGACGAGACCGCAGGTTGGCTGGCTTCTTTCGTTTTGGAACTGAAAACCGGTTTCGGTTTCGATCTGAGCCATCTTGGCGTTGTTCTAAAAGCTGCTCGGCAGAACAGGGTCAGCCAGTTGGCACGGAAAATGGCAAGAAAAATGCCTGGCTAGAAGAATTTGAACAAAAAAAAAATCCTGGAAACTGAAACATATACAACTAAGAATAAGATAAATAGCATCCACTTTTGGAACATCTTACTCATTTTCTCTGTGAGTGTTTTGAGTTTGGTTTCAAGCATTTTGTTGATTTGTTTAACAAATTTGCAATGAGCAAAAGGCCTGGACAAACACACTTGCCATGCATGCGGAATGTTAGGCAAACAATTGTTGGCTTGCTTGGCTTGGTATGGCGGTTTTGGGCCCATCAAGTGTCACGTGTCCCTGCTTCTGGCCCTCCCCTCGCTTGGCCACATCTCTCCGCCAGTATTGTGTGGCCACATCTTGGCCACTGACAGCCTGTCAGAATCAACAAAGGGCCACACAGGGCCACAGGATGGAGTGAAATGGAATGGGATGGGATGGCTAGGTGGTTTACGAAGCAAAGGGATCCCAGCTCCTGGTTGGATTGTTGTTTACCTTTTGGTTCTCAGCACAGCCAGAAGTTGCGACTGCAACTGGAAGATAATTTCGCGAGCTTAACAATGCACCCAAGTATACCAATTAAAAGTAAATTTTCACTCTGAAATCACCTCAGTAATCCTTAATTATTATTTTATTTTTATACCCTCGCAGGGTATAATAATATTATTCAGATGCTTGTATTTATGTGAAGGAGTCATTTCCGACCTTATATATTATTTATATATATATAAATTTTTCAAAATTTTCGAAATTTTATAAGGGGTTACATCGTTAAAATTTTTAAAAATTGATAATTTCAATTTTTTAACATTTTAAATGGAGTATGCAGATTTATTAACCTAGTAAAAACTACCATAGGACAGCTTTCCGAATTGAATTTAATGCTTTTTTGGCGTAGTTATGAATTTTTTAAACTTTGATTAGCCATTTGAAAATAGACTAATTATGTATTTAAAATTCGTACAAATAGAGGAAATATTTGTATTTAAATCTCTTACTATGCAAGTACACCGAGTTTCCCTTTCAATATGAAACTTTAAGAGTGAATTCTTCGTCTGGAATGAGGTGTACACACATAATATATATTTATATACTCTATATTCCATTCCCTTATATATTTTCAGAATAGAAATACCGCTGAGTGCAATCTCTGAGAAGATGTAGATACTGCGTGAATTCCTTTAATTAAATTGCCACTCAGTCTTCGTCTTGTTTATACAATTTTCCGCATTTTCCTATCCAAGTCTTCGTGCTTTGTGTTGTTGCACGAGTTTTCCCCTCTTTCGGCCCTGGGAATGATGTGGGATGATGCATTTCATTAAATTCAATTTGTATCTATTAAGTCTGCCCGATGGAGGCTGCTGATAAGCGCTATCATACTGCCTAGTATAGTGATTTCGTGATTTGTTTATGTAAATTTTGTAGCTGCGCAAAAAAGTTTTATTTGATTTAAACGAAGATGCGACTGACTTACTCTGACGTAACCGATTTGCTCCTTAAGAAATTTTCCTTTTTCTCATCCCGAGTTCAACAGATTAATTTGTTTATTTTGTTTTCATGACTATATAGTAGTAGTTGTCGCAAAAGCAAGTTGTTGTGATGTCGTTTTGTTATCAATTCGACCCTCGGAGCTGCTTTTGCTTGCTTACATAAATTGAGCAATTAAATGTTGCAAAATATATATATATATATATACA